GACAGGCTTGAGAAGTCTTTCAACAGCTACACATACAGTTGCAACAGTATTTCTTTCATTCCTTAGGATTGTAATTAAATGAGCACAGTTTTCAGTAAGAGGAAAGCAACTGAGAAATAGAAGCCTCTGAAGAAAAGGCATTCAAATACGTTGTGACAGAATTGTGAATTGACCTTCAACATCTGTTTCTCCCCTTCTTCCACAATTATGACAATCAATTTTCAGATGGGCAGATACCCAGAATAAAGATTGCATTGTCATGTTCTTTAGGAGTGACTTAGATTTATTCGAGGAGATGTAATTAGGGAGGTATGAAAGCTTTTGTGAGTCTCTCATTAAAAACAGCTGGAGTATGCCCTTTACTCGCTTCATTTTCCTGAGCATTTTCTTCCATCTTGATGGCTGGGTGTGATGACTGGAGTTAGAGCTGTCATTTGGACTTTGTGGTCACAGAATTTCCCAAATAGGATAGAAGCCAGGGGAGTCATGAATGCCTGGGCTCCATGGAGCAGAGCTACCCCAATCCTATGCTGCCTACCTGTTATTCAATGTGAGAAAGAAATAACATTTTTTTCTCATTTAAGCCATTTCTATTTTGGACCTATAACTTACAAGGAAACCAAATTCTAACTCTACAAAAGTGTACTCAAATCTTCGTATGTGATATTAATGTAAAACTTGTAGCAATTAGAATCATTTGTAGCAGGAAGCATGATATTTTGACAGAAGCGGTTGGGAAAGAAAGTATAGCCATTACGTTATCACAATCCTCTAAGGTATAAATTTAAAATGGTATTTATTAAAGTATCTATAAGAGAAACAGTCAACCCCTACCAAAATGCTTTTCTTTTTCTTTTTTCTTTTTTTTTTTTTTTTAAAGATTTATTTATTTATTTATACAAGTACTGGGTACAGTCAGAAGCACAGGAGGGTGAGAGAATTCACCAGAGCCAGAGCGGGGAACAGAACAGGCAGAAGGACCGAAGTACACTGCTGAGGGGAGCAGCGGGCAGCAGGAGAGGTCTGCGTGCCATGTGGGACCCTCGTCTGTGGTCGGGGATCAAACTGGTGCTGCAGAGGCCGCAGGCAGCTTCGCAGCCCAGCACTCAACCACTGCTCCACCAGGGGAGGCCCCAAAATGCTTTTCAATTAAAAAAATCAAACTAGTCTCTTCTGTTTCTCTTGATAATGGCAAGAATCCACAAATAAATCACAAATGCCAATGTAAATTGTTTTGTTTATGTTTTCATCTATGTATTTTATGGTTTCAGGTCTTATGTCTAAGTCTTTGATTCATTTGGAATTAAATTTTGTATTTGGTGTGAGATAGTAGCAGCCTAGTTTCATTCTTTTGTATGTGACTGTTCAGTTTTCCCACCACCATTTGTTGAAGAGACTTTCCTTTCTTAAATGTATAGCCTTAGTTTCTTTCTCATAAATTAATTGTATATAAGTGTGGGTCTATTTATGGGGTCTCAATTCTATTCCACTGGTCTGTGTGTTTATTTTTATTCCAGTGCCTGACATTTTTGATTACTATAGCTTTCTGGTATAACTTACAGTCTGGGGGTGTTATACCACTGTTCTTTCTTATCAGGATTGCTTCGAATATTTACTCTTTTTATGGTTCCATATGAATTTCAGTACTGTTTGTTCTATTTGTTTGAAGAATGACAATGACACTATTTTTTTTAGTGTCATTGTCAGATACAAGCACTGGGGTACAGGCCAGAGGCATGGGATGGTGAGAGAATTTACCAGACACAGATCAGGGAGCAGAACAGGAAGAAGGACCAAAGTACACTGCTGAGGGGAGCAGCGGGCGAGACAGGAGAGGTCTGCAACGCCATGTAGAAATCTCCCTGGCCGGCTAGGAATTGAACTGGTGCTGCAGAGGCTGCGGACAGCTTCACAGAGGTGCGCTCAACCCTCTGCGACACCGGGGAGGCCCAACAATGACACTTTAATAGGGACTGCATTGAATCTGTATGTTGCTTTGACTAAGATGGTCATTTTAACAATGTTCATTCCTCTAATTAACAAAGCAGAGAATATCCAATTCCTTGTGTCTTCTATTTCTTATAATAATCTCTTATAGTTTTCATTGTAATGAGTCCTTCACCTCCTTTAAGTTTAGTCTTAGGAATTTAATTCTTTTTGTTGCTGTGTAAATAGAATTTTTCCCCCTTGATTTCCTTCTCTTCTAGTTCTTTGTTTGCATATGGGAACACACACATAGCTTATTTTTGTAAATTGATATTGTAAGTTGCCATTTTATTGTACTGATTTATTGTTTAAGTTTGCTTTTTAGTGGAGTTTTTAGGCTTTTTCTATGTGTATTATGTCATCTGTAAAAAATAATAAATTTACTTTTTCCCCAATTTTAACTCCTTTCATATTTTTTCTCTTACCTGATTGTGCTAGGACTTCCAATACTATTTTGAATAATAGTTGTGAAATTGGACATCCGTGTCTTATACCAAAGGAAAACCTTAGAGTTTTTTGCCCTTGTGAATAATGTTAGCTGTGGGTCTGTCCTATATGACTTTTCTTATTTTGAGGTATCTTCCATCTGTTGCCATTTTTTTTGAAATGGAAGTTGAATCTTAGCAAATGCCTTCTCTGTATCTATTGATATGACCATATTACTTTTATCTTCTCGTTGACATGGTAAATTACACTGACAGATTTTTAGATAGTGAGCCATTCTTTCAGCATCACTGGAATAAATCCTATTTTGTCAGAATATATGCATACCTGAGATGATAAAGCATACATTGTATAAAAATGAAGAATGATATAAAAATATATAAAATAAAATAAAAAAGGAAAAAAATGTAGGTAAGATCTTTTTAGTGCATTGTTGAATTTGGTTTATAAGATTTCATTGCAGATTTTGCATTGGGTTCATTGGGATACTTGTCTGTAATTTTCTTTCTTTGTGATGTCTTTGCTTTTGGTATCAGAGTAATGTTGGCTTCATAAAATATATCTAGAAGCATTCCCTTTTTCTCAAGTTTTTAGAAGTAGTTCGAAAAGTATCAGTAGAAAGAAATGCAGTATGAACAAATGGGGCTACTTCAAAGTAAAAATCTTAAGCAGAGCAAAAGAAACTATCACTAAAACAAACACCCTAATGAGTGGTGGAAACTATTGTACATCACATGTCCAACAAGGGGTTGACATTCAAGATCTACAAGGAACACAAACAATTCAATAAAAAGAAAACAACTCCATCAAATAATGGGCAAAAGAGTTAAACAGACACTTCACCAAAGATGGTAAATGGATCACCATTTTTCATGAAAAAAATAAAAAGATCACCATTATTCATCAATGGGGAAATGCAAATTAAAACCAGAATGAGATATCTATCACCTCACACATGTGAAAATGGCCATCTCAAATAGACCTAAAACAAGTGTTGCTGAGGATATGGAGAAAAAGGAACCCATATAGAGATGGGGGAAATAGACCAGTCCAGTCCCTGTGAAAAACAGTATGGAGATTTCTCAAAAGATTAAAAATTGATCCAGCAATTCCACGTCTAGGTATCTACTTGAAGAATGCAAAAACATTAATTAGAAAGAATATATGCACTCCAATGTTCCTTGCAGCACTAATGACAACCCAGCCAAGTTGTGAAAACAACCAAAGTACCCTAGGACAGGTGAGAGGATTAGGAAGATGTATTGCATATACACAACGGAATACTACTTATCTATAAACCTGTATGACCTTTAGTCATTGGTCACAACATGGATAGAATGCCAGGTAGACCCAAGCCAATAAGAAAACTATAGAATTGAGGTTGCCAGATGAGGAGGGGGAAGGTGGAGAGCCGGGTATGGAGGAGGCTCAATGGACTATGGTGGTGAAGGATTATGTGTACCTTTGTGTTATAATAACATACATCTGAAGAAATATGATCCTCTACTTCTGAATCATATGTACTGCTATAAACCAATGTCACCACAACAAATAAATCAAAATATCACAAATTAGTTTCATCTCATTAGTCACAAATCCTCTTGAATATGTGGCAGTATCTAATATTTCCTTTTATAGAGAAGGTCTACATGTCAGAGAGAGAGCTCAGAAAAGATAAAATTTCAAGGAACCAGAATTTAGCCTCTGAGACATTATGGAAAGAGATAGGTATGCTTCAATAAAATTCACCAAACAGGGCAAAGTTGAGTAATTCCCTGAATTTACCCACTCTGCCCTCATAGCATGATCTGGCATTGTCTGAAGGCAAAATGGGGAGATAACAAGAGTAGGTGTAAAAATTTCATTCTCAGAAATTACCAACGCTTCCCATCCCACACACATTCATTAAGGAATAGTTGACAAATATAATAGTATATATTTAATATAATAGTATATATTTAAAACATACAACATGATAATTTCATGTTTATCACACTGTGGAATGATTACTATTACCCTGCCCATTACTCACACTATTAACTTGTGTGTGTGTGTGGTGGGGGTGGGGGCGGCTGAAGATGCCTAAAATATGTTCCTAGCATTCCCCCAGTACATTCAAGAATATAATATTGCCATTTGTTTTATATTTACCATAAACCAATTCCAATAGGAAACTACTATATATGCTTCTTTTCATAGAATGCCCACAGCAATTCTAGAAGGTAGGGATTGTCATTTCCATTTTACAGAAGAGGAAATAAGACTCAGAAATGTAATAACTTTCATAATCTCAAAGATCTTTTGCAGAATGTTATCCATAAGAGGCTATCCACTTTTAGGAATTCTTTCATCTTCAAAAGGCTTTCTGATACATTCTCAAGAATTTGAATTTTACAATTTTATTGGCCATTGATGTTATTTCACATGCCATCTAAACCTCAGACAATTTTAACCTAAGTGAATAAATAGAAAAGTATTGCATCTATCAATCACAATTTCCTACTTTGACAATATAATTTCCAATTTATTCACCTAAGTACTTGAAATGAATAAAACCAGAAGTGACCTACCTTTTGAGTGAGCAGAGCTTGAACAACTTGGTTGGCTACCTTTAAAAAAATAAAGAAAAGTGTTATAGTTTATAATAATGAGACTTTATAAGCATGGATTCTAAATTACCAATAAGTTTTCCAGAGCTTATTGTAGCTAATTAGCTCATCTGCCTCTTTCCTCTACTTCTAGTGGACCTGATTCTTTTCCTAATAAGCCTATCCTTGTAGGTAATATTTTGCTTTTTTTCCAAAGGTGACCCAGTTGCTAATTAAGAGGGTTAGGCTGGAAAGATCATTCATACCTTGACTTTCACATTTCCATATTTGGAAAAATAACATCCTTTCATATGTAAAGTACTCCAAGAAGGCCAAAAAAAAAAAAAGATATAGTACAAAACATGATCCTAATTATCTGCATACAATTTCTACATTTTGCTGATTTATAATGTCCTTTACCTCTCCTTCCTATTCTTTTTCTATGTTACTATTTCATTGTTTAAAATTATGTGCAATAGAGATAGGGTGAATGGTGGAGAATGCATTCAAGTTATTATTTCCTGTATGCTCTGTTTTCCTTCTCCATTTCTTTTATGCCATCCTCTCATCATTACTATCTGTAACAGAATCTCATAGTTGTTTACACCAACATCCATTTCCCTCTTCCTCCTAAGTAACAAACCTTACTTTCTGGCCAGGTACATCTAACTACATTTCCCAACATGCCTGGTAGTAAAGTGGCAAAATATGTAAAATGTCTGGGTAATGAGTTATTATCAAACTATTTCCTGGGCTTATATGACATCTTTAAGAAGAAGTGAGTCCACCATTCTTCATTCTTTTCCTGTCTGGGATATGAAAATGATGGCTGGTGCTTTAGCAACCACCTTATAATGGAAGTCACATATTAAGTATTATTGGACAGAAAAATAGGATGAGCCTGTTCCTGGTGATGCATGGAATTGCACTATCTCTGAACCTCTATGTTACACATAAATCAATGCCACTGCAATCTTGAGTTTCTTACCAATATATTAATAGAACTTGGATTTTCTTTTGGTATCAGGCTGCTTGGGGCAATAAAACAAACTGGGCCTCTCTCAGTATGAGGAGGTAAATCTTGATTAGTCTATGTTAGTCATGTTAATTCCATTATCTTTCAGTGACTGGCTTAGGAGTGGGCATGTGGCATGATTCCAGCTAAGGGCCACATGAAAAACCAGTATCATGTCCCAAGTATTTAAAAGAGCCATCATTTTCTCAAATATCCATTCATCATTTTTGTATGTATTTGCAGTAAGGTTTCTTTTTCACCTGCAATTTTCAAAAACACTTCATAAAATAATCACTTGCTAAACTTCACTGTAACCTTGAAGTAATAAAAATACTTATAACGGCTAGTATTGATAAAATTTAGGTGAAAAGGATAGGCATGTGTTATTTTTTTCAACCAATGCACAAACTGTAAATGTTGGGTATAACTGAAACTGATAGCATAAAGACTATCAATCATTTCTTCCTTCATTTACTCAATATAAAGTTGCAGAATATTTGCAATGCTAGGTGATTGGGTTTAGTTCCTTGGTTTCAAAGAGTGCATAGCTGGTAGGAGGTTGGCAAGAACACAATTATAAGATGGTGTGATAAGCATGTAATCAGCTCAGTAATTCTCACATTTAAGTGAAGCCCGAGGAACACACTTTCATCTTCTTTTTATCTTGATGACAAATTTATTTTCGGTAATTTTAAACTATGGATGCTTGCCGCCATGTCTAGTATAGTGGAACAGATTATGGTAAGAGTGTCTTCACGGAACTTAATTGTTTTTTTGACTCAATATTGACAAAATAGCACATACTTAATGGCGCTGGGCTACCAGTAAGTCTCACAGAAAATTAAAATACAGGATGTCATCAGTTTCTGGTTAGGAGGCATTCATACTAAAAGCAGCAAGTGATCAGAATTAGATTACCTGTAACTGATTAGTTGAGGTGTATGCACAAGAGGAATTTTTTTATTCTATCAGAATACTTTCCAAAGTTACACTTTTGACATTAAGTGAAAAAGAAAGTACTGCTTTGAAGCTAACCACAGTTTTGAAGAAAAAGAATTCTTAGGGATTTTTTTTTTTTTTTTTAGGCCAGTCCAAATTAAAGGAGCATACACATGAGCTGTCATAGATCAAATTGAACTATAATTTCCTTCATGGGCACTTTTTCTTCTTCCTTTATCATTGTATTTTTTTCAAGATCAAAACTGTGGTAAATGTGATTCAGCCCATACAACCTACAACCGACCAACAGCATAATCTTGAAAATCTTTCAGTTTTTAAACATCCATTCCGATTTCTAAGTAGCTGGGAATTTAAACTATATGTCATCTATTTTATTCTTAGCAAATCAAAAAACAAAGAAGAGTTGAACTATTCATGCAGCTTGAATCAGGAACAATGCATTAAAGTTAACACATATCATTAATAAATAATTTCATCCTTTTAGATCTCAAACTTCAGGATCGATTTACAATGATCAAAACAATTGCCTGATATCAACAGACAGTCCCTTCTTCCAAACTGGTCCCTCACTTAACCCAGTATGTGGAACAGCAGTCACATAAAATAGCTCTTCACATGATTTAACAGAAGACATAAGTGATTATCCTAACTGTAACGGCTCGCAGGAGTAAATACATTACATCTTTGCAATCTAAGTATGTTGCCCTATAGGCATACAGACGCCATCTCTGCCTCAGTTCCTTCTGGCATGTACTTTGGACAATTGTTTGCTCTACCTGAAAACTGAACAAAGACACATAAAGACATTATTTCTTTACCTACTGACATGGAGTTTTATTACCCAGAAAGACTCACAGGTTCTGTGCAGAATAGCAGACAGGCTGTACAAATGCTTTTCTCCATGTTGTCTATAAAAGACTGTCCTGGGTTTTGTTAGTGGGTTTTGTTACATTCAACAGCTAAGCTGCCCTGATGCATCAATAGAACAGTTGTTTGCAGTTTGTGCCTGCAATTTCTAATAAGTTCACTAGATGATCCCTGGAACAGGACCTGCCCTCATCACAACATTATGCCTTTAGCCCTTGAGTCACAAGTGATAACACAGCCTCAGCCCTGACTAATGAGAACAGATAACTTCCCCTGTCACCTGACAGCTTTCCTCTCCAGAGAAAGGAAAAATAGCAGCTCATTTGAGTGAGGCAAACTTGAGACACCTGAGCAAAGTTGACAGTCCTTAACCCCCTGACTTGTTTTAGAGCCTCCTTTATGCTCTCTGTGCAGATCCCCCTTTGCTACTAGATGGGCAGGGCTGCAGGTGAGACAGAGATGCCAAGAAGGGACTCAGGTACCTCTTGCTTTTCCTCTCAGTAAGAATCTCTCAGACAAGCCAACTGTCTGACACCTGGCTGGCTCAACTAGCAACACAAGCCTTTGCTCTTCTTCCCCATTAGGCTTCTAGGGATCATGATTCCTCTGGGCAGGAAACCCCCTGAGAAGGGGGGCGGAGAGTAGAAACTAGAGCAGTCAAACTTTGGAGTTGTCCCTTTATTGCAACTGATTCCTGAGGCTGAATGAGAACTCACACCTGGAGTTTGTTCTGAGGGGGTCAATATTCTCGACACATCCAGAAGACAGTCAAGGAAGGGGGAGGTAAGAAACTCAAAAGTTACCATGCATGGACAGCCCTCTCCTCCTACCTGGTGGAGGTCTTGATTTTATTCTTTCGTGTGCTATTTTGTTACTCAAAGCAACTGCCACCTCAGCAAGGTAATTTAAAAATCTGGCTGAAAAAGCAAAAATTTTAAAAAATGTGCTTTGCTTTCTATGCTTCTGAGCTTGGTTTATTGTTCTCAGGCAACAGGAGGAACATGGGGTAGAATCACAAGAAAGACTTGAATTCAAATACTGCCTGTGCTGATTACACAACCTGACTTTTCTCATCTGTAAAGTAGGGGAACTGTATGCTTCTGAAGTTAATGTGAAAAATGCATGAAATGGTAGACACAACCAGAGAAACCACTTTGGATATTATCTTGGATAGTATCTGATATAAAGTAGTCACTCCATAAACGTTAGACTTGAAACAGGTCACTCAAACTTTAGAGAATAAAATGTATTTGCAAGTAATCCATTAAGAAAGAATGGTTTGAGGGGCCTCCCTTGCGGCACAAAGGGTTAAAATGCAACCTATGAAACTATCCACAGCTACTGCAGCACAAGTTCGATCCCCAGCCAGGGAGCTACCTGCATGGTGCAGCAGACCTCTTCTGACTAGCCCACTGCTCCCCTCAGCAACGTATTTCAGTCAGTCTGCCTGTTCTGTTCCCGCTCTGTCTCTGGTGAATCCTCTCACCCCCCACAGCTCTGGCCTGTACCCCAGTTCTTGTATGCATAAATAAATCTTTAAAAAAGGAAAGAATGGTTTGACAATAAGTAATTTTATTTGTAAAGGAATGAAGAATGCATGCATACATGTATAATATACATATATAAATCACTAAGTCCCTATATTATGCAGTTACTATAAAATAAATCCTGCAAAATACTGGTATGAGAAATTATTCTAAACATGTACGTAAGAGTCTGAGGGAAATTAATTTGAAGTTAACCTGCTATAATAATCTGTCTTTATTCATTTAGTCATCTAACAAATATACATTAACTATCTGTATAGGTCAGGAATTGTGCTGAGTCTTGAAGAAATAACTTAACTAGATACTGCTGCTGCCCTGTGACAGCATTTCTCATCTTTTGATTTCATGGCCCATTCATGAAATGGGTATTTGAATCATACACAGGATAATTTTCCAGCTACATCTATCAAACATAGATTTTAAAGATTACTTATGGTTTAGAGGTGGGTTATGAGATGAGAATGTGCTGATAGTGTTTCTAAGACCCAATGCTACCATACACGATGGGATAGAGAGAAAAATAAGAGCTACTTTTAATAACCTACATCTGCCACTATTTAGCCTTGGCTTAAAAAAAAATTGGTGCTTTTTTGTTTTTCTAAACTATATCCAAAGGTTTATTTTTCCCTGTC